TCTTATCTAATTGAAAAATTTCAAAGTGCTCAGTTTAATACCGGTTCCCATAATTTAGTAATTAATTGAATATCTGTAACAAAGCGACTATATTTATATCATGAATCGAATACATATATTCCATACTATTACCTACAACAATTGAATGTTGCCATTGCTTTAGTATTTCTCCTCATACCATCATTACGAACATATTAAGAACCTCACTTGGCGAACATAATTGTTTTCTAAAATAAAGAAAATCCTCAAAAATCTGGAAAATATATTTTTATGTTGACAAAAATATATTTTAATAAACACCAGAATTTAATTACAGATATTTACCTGCTGTCGGTATTATGTACAGGATAGTTCCATTCCCATGGGTAATTCTTGATACAGTTCATCATCAGGTACCAAATGACGAGTGATGTAAAATATATCGTTCTGGTACACCAAGATGGATTATTGGAATTATTTGCTCATTTTTGTTTATTGTACAGCAATTGTACGCACCAAACCAGTCCAACTCAATTTTGCAAATTCGTCTTACTTTATCTCATCGCCATCGATAGTAGTTTCGAAAAGTCAGTGTTAAGGAATGCGCATTGCAACACTCTTTGGTCCGGATTGGATAGATTTAGTTTTTTATGCTGATCCTACTCAATTCTGCCTTTCTGATTATAAAGGACTAGATTATTGAGTCAATTCAGTGCAGATTTTGGTTGAAGATATACTCGAAATTCCTGTACGTTTTCGGTGTTATCAGGTTGTTCAGGTCATGTCAGTCGAATTTTTAGAGCGAAGAAAGTATATTTGGAAGGAGTTAAAGAATCACAAATGTAAGCATTTGTAATGACCCCAGCTATGAAATGTATCGTAGAGATTGAGTCTTCTATAGCTAGCATAACATATTATCAAAATAGTTATACGCAGAAAGTTGCAAAGCAGATGTTGTGTTACAGTTTGGACACCGTGGATAATAACGTTTTTAACGTCTTGGTTTACTGGCTCTGATGCTCTTAGTTTCCTACCAGAACATCCAGTTGCATTTGTTCTCGAATATAGTATTTTGGCAGGCTACTAAAATGGTATGTTTCTCATAGATATGCGATAACACTTGGAAGCAATATGGCTTTTATGTTATATTATAACAAACTAAGGTGCGCACTGGTCATAGTCTGAACCATTCTTTTTGCGAGAAGATAAGAATATCTCTCCTAAAAAACTGTTACAATGAAAAAAATGGTATTTTCATTCACTGCGTTTCAGGTTTTTTGTTGACAATGCGAAAAGCACGTTAATTGGTGTGCTTGTTTGAAAATTTCGTTTATGAATCATTGAACTCGTGCACACCATTAACTATTTCATCTATACTTTGAAATGGACAAAACAGCTTGTTTAGTTCATTCACAAACATGTTTAATCAATCAAACCCTAAGCGTCAATACCTTCATAGAGATGTCAAGTGCATCGTGTCGTTCTAGAGCTATCAGTTGTTTTGTTATAGTAACCAGTAAAGTGTAACGACATAAAAAACATCGAGGTAATATTTGCATGGGAACCAATGTGTACAATCTGTTATCACCATAATATATGATACATTGCTTCAGCTTATATTGGTCGTATGAATAAAGCTCCAGGTGGTTTGACTCATATAAACGCTTGGATACCTTAGACACGTGTGTTGAGCTTGATCGATTAAATGTTGTACACATTTCCTTTAGAATGACTTGACAGTGTTGTACCTTCGGAAACGGATAGGTTTGTTTGTTTGTTTGTTGTTGGGCTTAACGCCATTTTTCAGCACACGATAGGCTATTGATGGCGGCCAGTATTAATGGTGGAGGAAGAAACCGGGAAATCACCGGAAAGAACCACCGACCCACGAGAAGCTACTGGCAAGCTTTCTCACATATCTACATTAGCCGAATCCTAGACTCGAACACACGCAAACAGAGGTGAGATGGCAGTGATCCGTAACGGACAGCGCTTTAGACCACTCGGCCACTCGGGGCCCCGGAAACGGATAGGCCCTGCATCGGGTATGGATACTATAATGTTGAAGAAGTTAATTTTCTCATGCTTGTTGCTCAGGGCTTGAGAGCGAGAAAGAATGTTTGCATTTGTTTAACTGCATACAAGAGCAATACAGGTCATATATCAATGGGATGCTAAACGTAGAGTGTCTTGAAGAAATTTCACTAGCGTGCGTCAGAGGGGTATCCGATGTCAAAAAAGCAATGGATAGCTATCCTATTGAACAACCTATTTTAATTCAAATAAGTCTCTTGATATATAAAATAATCGAGATAATACTTGCATTCAAAACTTAGTACGACGAAACAATTTAGGATGGATACTTGTATGTATGGATGGAGGAATGGGAGTATAATTGTGATGTTGTTATTATGAGGTTTACCCCATAAAATAGGTTATATATGGCGGCCAGTATTACAAGTAGTTGAAGAAGAACCCGGGAAGATCTAAGAAAGGACCATCGAGCCACGGGAAAGTACTTGCAAGCTTTCTCACTTACCCACATTGGACAAGACCAATAAACAAAATAAAGCAGAGAGAGGCGAGATGGCAGTGATCGATAATGGTGATCAATTTAGAGTAAGAGTCGACACAAGGTATTACTCGGCATAAACGAACTATTTAAGTTGATGCAAATCCCACCGTATCTAAAATATTCACGATATTAGGGGTATTTAAAATCTATTTAGGATGACATTAAAATTCAGAAGTGGCCTCATGTAGATCACAATAATTATGTCAGTCCCTGTTGCCAAGTAATGCTGGACATTTGATCATTTCCTCAGACACACATTGGCAATGATTTTTTTAGCTATAGATATTTTCTAATAGCTTGCTTAGTAACATAACCCATCTTAATACCTTATCGGATACAGAAATATAATAGCTAAAGCTAAGACATCTAAATTGTGGGACTATAGAGGCTTTCCTCATGTATCAGGAAGATGCATTTTTGACTAAAGCAAATTTAGAAATAGACGTGAATAATAAATACACAAGATGTGTTTTAATAGTGGGACTGATTTTGAATGAAGGAAATTGATGAGTCTTTGGTGACCATTTTCCTTATTTTGATAATGTTTGAGTTGAATTTATGAATATATTTCGATTTGAATCGTTACATGTGGATTTAGGTATAAATGTCCCCTGACAGGGCCCTTGACAAATTCTTCTTCATAGACAAGAAGACAATCAAAAGTCTCAATAAATCTGAGGTGAAAAATGGTGAAGGATAAGTGCACATACCTCCTTAAATGTATCTATCTCATTTCTTCACCCTCACATTAGATACCTACACTGTAACACAGTGCGCTAGATTAGACAGTAAGCCTTTGACGCTACTGCGAGTCAGGACTACATTTCTCAATACCTCGCTCTTTTTCCATGGATCAGCGACAGAGCGAGACCCATTAATTCTTTACCGACATGATTTAAAAAGGAAACCGTTGAATTTGATCAAAGGAGTATTTTATTCTACCTCAATATCATAACATACGCTGACAAATGACAAATTATTAATGATGTGCGTGCATATGACAGTGTTCATTGTAATGACCTTTTGCCATATATATATATATATATATATATATATATATATATATATATATATATATATATATATATATATATATATATATATATATATATATATATATATATATATATGAGTACAAATTATATGGCGAATAACAACTCTTGCAAGCGCACTGAATCCAACAATGGATCACGTGTGTCAAGGATTAATTAAGATAGATGTAATCAACTGACGACAAACAGTGCAAAACTAGTACCTAACGTGAGCCATTTCGACTCTGATTGAGTCCTTTTCAAAGGCAAATAATAAACATATACAAAACAAGCAAATAAACACAAAATGTTGTGTTTGTAAAACTCTACTTGGCCGTCTGTACATGAGTTAAAACTATATATACAAGTCTCTGAAGCATCCTGTATAGACTCGTTCCCAATACTGAAAGATGTTTATAATTCCCTAAAGGTCTATGATCCAAAGCGACATCTATTAATTTATGTACATTTATGTAATGCAGATTGTATCTGATTTATTTGATTTTATACCAGATATTTTATTCTTATAGATGTAATTAAATGATACTAAGAAGATTTAGAAACGTTTGAAAAGAAACTGTGTCGGCTAAAAAGACTAATTCTAATAGTGCAAAGTTTTCCTTTTTTAAGTCTTCTTGTTTTAAACCGCTTGGTTTCAATGTTTTAAGGCGGCGTATTCAGTAACATTATTTTACCTTACTGGTTTCGGAACCTCAGCTGTGATTGTTAGCAATTGCTATAAGTGTTATATCATTGAAAGTGTAGTCAAAGAGGAGAAGTTTTTTGCGACCTGGCTTCTGTACAGCTTCTTTGTCATCCAATCAGATCAATGAAAGTTTATCCTTTCGTGTAGCTTTTCAGTTTCTCCGACGTGCTGAAGGCTACAGATCTTACATGTTATGAGATAAATAACATTCTCTGTTTTGCATATTTTGTTTGTACCATGTCTGTTTAGTTTTACTTTAGTCACTGTGCAAGTGAATGTCCTGGTCTTTATCATATGTTGACAGGTTTTGCATCTTTTATCGACACAGGGTCCAGATTGACTAGGTTGGTCTTGACTAGCGACTGGCGTTAGCTTTGCTCTGACTAGGATGTCCTTGAGGTAGGCTATTACATGTTTGTTCGGAAGGATTAGTATTAGTATGTCCGACGATTGCACGATGGACCAGTGTTTTGCGATGATTTTACCTACTTTGGGGTTGTCTGGATGGTAGGTCAGTATAAATGGTATCCTATCAGACTTTTCTTTCTTTCCATATTTGAGTAGGTCATCACCGTTTGTTTGTTTGGCCCTTTGGATTACTTCCGCAATCAGGTCTTTGTCGTAGCCTCGGTAAATTAAATGCTTAGGCAGCTCTTCAGACCTTTCTAGGAATCTTTTATCGTCGGAGCTTATTATGCGTATCCTCAGTGATCCGCACCGGTGGCCTAGAGGTTATAACGTCTGCCTCAGATGCGGTAGGTCGTGGGTTCGATCCCCGGTTGAGTCATACCAAAGACTTATATGATGTGATGTGATTATGATTCTTAACGTAGCTTTAACAAATTGTTTAGTCATATCGCTACGATGTCTGCAGTGTGGCAGTTAATAGTAATGTTTAGCACTGGGGCATCATTCCGTAGACAAGTAACATGATGTCCCACCTAGTCACATTATCCTGACACCAGGCCGACCAGTCCTAACACTAACCGCTAACGATTAAGGGCCAAGCGAATAAGCTGTTAGTACCATTTTTATAAGTCTTTGGTATGACTCGACCAGAGCCAAAGACTCATCATATATATATATCATAGATAAAGCGTACTCACTGGTATGGTGTACGCTTAACCGATGTTATGAGCTGAACCTCCAGTTTTTCCATAAAAATGTTAGCACACGAAGGGGCCATTTTAGTACCCATTGCAGCTTCAATGATTTGTAGGTAGCTTTCTTCATTAAATTAAAAGTTATTGAATTATAGATGAAGCTCCAGGAGTTTGACCAAGAAGTATGTGGTTGGATTGTTTACAGTTCCTGTTTTTCATGCTTCGCTACATGCCTGTATCTATTTGCTGTGCGGTATGTTAGTGTACAAAGATATGGCATCTAAGGAAGCAAGTAATGTATCTGGTAGTAATGGTTCACTAGCATTGATTTTATGAGATAATCTGTCATGTCTTGAAGACATGATGGTAATTAGTGGGTATGTGGTCTCATAAAATCATAAATATTCTGATATCCTTTCGGTGAGGTGCCAGTTACCAGAGATTATAGGTCTGACAGGGTGTCCTTGTTTGTGGATTTTGGGTAGAAGATAAAATATACATGCTCTTGGGTTGTCTGGGCTTAAGTAGTTTTTCGTTTGCTGGTCTATGTGTCCGCTTTGGTACGCCTCGTCAATAACATTAGTGATGATTTTTGTATATTCCAGCGTTGAAGCATGGTCCAGGTCTTGGTATAACCTAGTGTCACTTAGTTGTCTACTTGCTTCACTAATGTAGTCTTCCTAATTCATAAAGACAACAGCGAAAAATTGATTTTCAGGCTTAATTATAATGTCTGTCCTGCTTGTCAGTGAGTGTGGGACATCTGTTTTTTCTTTTGTAAAATTAGAATATTTGTTTAGTATTATTGATTTGTCTGGAAGTATCATTTTGAACCGAGTTGATAAAGGCATTCTAAATGTTTGTTGGTCGCAGCTTATATTTTCCTTCGATTAGTTTGTTGGTTGCAAGGCAAAATGAGTTTTGAGTATTCGGTGTCCTCCTTAAGCTTCTCTCTGTCGTAAGCTTTTGGACTGGGTCAGAAACCTTTTAATAATAAGTTTTATTTCTGCATCAGTAAGTTCTAAATTGGAGATGTTGACTACTTTATTAGTAACAGTTGAATTAGTGTTTGTTACAGAGTGCTTGTAATTCTTCCTTTTGCAATTGTTCGTCAGTTTAGACGGAATTGAGCTGATGTTTTAGTTTTTCTATGGTTGTTGATTTGACTATATATTGATGGTTTGCTTTTTCACTAAGTAGGGCTGTGATTTTCATGAAAGCATCGTGAGTTATTTCATTCCATCTTTTGTTGAATCTGAACTCTTGCCGATGATTTGCGGTTCCACATGAATTTGAAGACCTTTAGTTACTGTATTTATTTCGAGGAAATGATGTAAGAGAGTGCAATTATATATATATATATATATATATATATATATATATATATATATATATATATATATATATATATATATATATATATATATATTTTTTTTTTTTTTTTTCTTTTTCTTTTATTACGTTATTAGTGGATTTGCTTTGTCATGTGGTATCTTTAACATTATGTTCTAACTAGACAATAAAAATCGATTTTGGTACAACCACCTGAATTATATACGGTATTCACATTGGAAAAGAAAAGTTTATTTTTAATATATACTAACATTGCACCAGAATAGAAGTCTATAAGATAAAATTCACTTTCGTTTTAGTAAATACAGCTCACTGATGATATAAATATATCAGACGTAAGAAAGCTGTATATTGGGTTGACCTAATATATACAGCAAAAGTTTGTCATTCTGTAAACTATTTGACCATAACAAAGAAATGCACGTCTAATTTAGTAGGTTAATGGTTGATGTCAAGGAATTAAGGGAAATAACTTCAGAGAGACGCGAGCGGCGTCTGGTCAAATTTCTTTATCAAAGATTACTTTCCATGTCAGAAATATAAGGCTGTTTATACGTATTTGTTGTAGCTGAAAAGTACATATTGTTGCTGCATGTATGAAATTTGTGGGCACACATAATCTAGTGTCTATATGGTGGTCTTCGTGGTGTGTTTGTCAGGATAGGATAAGGGAGGTAGCGGGTTCATACCAAACTCCTAAAAATGGTACTTGCAGTTGCCTCGCTAGGAGCTCAACATTAAGAGGTTAGTTTAGAACTTGTTGGCGTTGTGTCAGAATAACGTGACTTGGTGAGACATGTTGCTACTTGTCTGCGGGATGATGCCTCGTTGCCAAATGTAATTATAAACTTCAAACACCACGTCATGTCTAAAGCTAGTTAAAGATATAAAGTCACTCGTTAGTCATGACAGGAGTCCTTGTATTTTCATAAGTGAAATATAATGATACATTTTTCATATGTAACAAATATATAGAATTTCTTTTTCGCCAGTAAATGTTCTCTATATTTCAGACTCAAGTAGCGGACACTCTATCACCAAAGCGGTCGTAACACGGGCTAAAATCGTTCTCTCTAATGCTTTTTATTTTGTGATTTGCATTTGTACTTTCTTCTAAATAATACGAGTTCACTTAAAGTAAGCATTATAAATTCCAAAATGAATACACAATCATACGTAAACACACATATATATATATATATATATATATATATATATATATATATATATATATATATATATATATATATATATATATATATATATATATATATATATATAAAGAATGCAAATCATATAGCGAATAACAGCCCTTTCAAGCGCACTCGATCCAACAAGAATCATGTGTGTCATGGATTAATTGATATAAATGCAATAAACTGACGACAAGCAGTGCAAAACGTGAATCTAACTTGCCTGAGCGCAACAAATATCCGCAGCAAGTTTATATAGGCTGGTTGAGACATAATGCATCTATAGGTTTAATGCATGTAGAAATAGTTATGTAGAGTTTTAAAAACACATTATTTTCTGCTTTCTGCTTTATTTGTTTATTTTGTCTATGTTTTGTATATACCTTTGAAAAAGACTCAATAAGAGTCGAAAGATATCAGGTTAGTTAGATACCAGTTTTGCACTTTTCGTCCTCAGTGTATATATATATATATATATATATATATATATATATATATATATATATATATAGTTAACAAACGGCTTATTCATAATAACAAAATAAAATGGTAGAGACAACAAACTTTGTAAGTGTTAACAAAAATTCTTTTATTTCCATAGAAATCACGGTGAAAAGGTGAAAGTATCAAAACAGAACTTTATGGCATATGAAGAATAATCCGAACATGTATTCTAGAGTTGTGAAAATATACGAGTCCTATCGATAAAAACCTCTAAATGAGTCTAGTTTAAATCTCAATCTGATTCCATGACGGGTATGATGACGTTAGATGAAATCTTTACATAAATATCCAGAATTTCACGTTGAACTACAAATTTACTGTATTGTTCCTATTTAGAATGAAATTTACTGTCTTTATCCTAAATAACTTGTGTAGTTCTCCAGAGAATCAATTATTATTCAAAAGGTAGTTGTACTCCAATAGCTGTCATCTATAACAAGACACATCACAGGCTCAATCGAAAAAATACACCCTTCTTCTTCAAGATATATTTTATGCGATTCACGCCAGCACAAGAAATATAATACCTTCTTCCAAAATTATAATGAACGAGTCTCTACGGCACCTATGAGAGAAAGTATGCGACAGATTATTTCACAGGAACCTAAGTATATTTATACCAAAGTGAGACGTCATTGCATGCACTCGAACGAAGAACACGTAGTTATTTCATCATCTGACAATTGTAATACACGATATAATCACACATACTTAGAAAAGACATGGCCACAACCAATCATTTATGCCGTTTGTTTATCAACCCGGCTATGTAAACAAAACTCTTAAGAAAGCAGAGACTCATATTTATGCTCTAAATAAACACGATATTTCCTTCAAAAATCCCGTGAGCCTAATTATCATGACAATATAGCAAAATTATACAAGAATATAATAAAAGGAACTGATCCTCAAATAGACAAGGATTTAAACTACTTGGTCGTAAATCCTTCCCCCATAAAAAGAAAGATTTATGTATTAAATCCTTTTTATTCACCAGATATAAACTATAAACTAGGTAAAATAATTACATAAGAAGTACTCTTACAAATTATACAAAGGTGTATATGAAAATAATATTTCTCTGCACGATAAAGTTCATCTGCAATCACATTGTGTTTTTCTTTGATGTACCTGATATCTGGTTTATATTTTTGCGAAAATGAACTTCACCTTAATGGTCTTTGATTTTTATTTTTCAGTCTGTTGATGAAAGTAAGGGAGTTGTTATCACTAAATACAATAACCACAGAAGGAGCAGAGTTGATGTAAATTTCAAAACGCGGTAATGTCAGTATTAAAGCTGCGCATTCCTTCTCGATTGCTGAGTAGTTTTTTTGGTGCTCATTTAATTTCTTAGAGAAATAGCACACTGGATGTTCTACACCATTTCTATCAGCTTGAATCAAAATTGTTCCAAACTCAAGGTATTGTACATGATGATATCATCAATATAAACATTATACTGTATAGAACAGAGATAATCATATTCACAAGGCGATGGAAAGTACTTGGAGAACATTTCATCCCAAATGACATTACTTTATTAATTAATAGTTAGTACACATTCGGAAAGTTTTATCCTATTTCGGAACAAGAATACACGGTGAACTCCAATCGCTATTACTGGGCTCTGT